TTCGGTATCATGCAGAGATTCAATTAGCTATGTTGACTTTTGGACCTTATTTAAAAATATGGCCTAGGAATTTGGAGCACACCCAAACGGTGGTCAAAGATGAAGATGATGAAAATTGCACAACTTGATATTTCAGATGCATTTAATTCAGTTCTTGCATCTTTAAAAATTGTCGAGGTAAGTACAGAATTAAACATAAGCTACATAGTGTAAATACCATAATGTAAGGTAACAATGTGTTAAATTCAGATACTTCATTTTGATCCACAACCATGTCTATATTTAAAGTCAGACTTGCACCTTTTTGTTCTAAGATTTTTCTCAAAAAGTTATTTCAAAGTTCTCCTTATCGCATGCTGGACAGCCTATTTGCATTTTTAGTATTACTCATGTGTCCAAAGTGCATGTTCAGCCTACCTTAGGAGAGCAGAAAGGACTACAGATTTAAAATGAATTAATTAAGCAATTATCTTAAACAACTGAAGCACAAGATAATAACACACCGTGCCCTTCAATGCATGCATTAGAAAAAGAAGCACACAAATCACTGGATAATCGGCAACATGTCTGGACAATGATAAAAACAAAACCCTATCTGCAAAAGAAAGATATAGCTCCTGCTTCTGAATCACACTTCACTACTGCCTCACTTAACCTGAAATCAGTGTGGCCTATTTAGAAACCAGCAGTAAAATAACACAGGTCAAATAATGGCACCGTACAACACAAACTGTGAAGAATAAAAAAAACTGGTCAACGTGAGATTTCTATCACCATTACATGGGTATGAGAGCTGCAAAATACACCTTCACACATTGGAAGTAAACAAGTCTGGCTTCAAAATTTATTTCAATGTTTTCTCTCAGGCTTTGTTACATCAAACAAAAATGTACAGCACACACCTCAAAATCCCCAAAATTCAAAACCCATACATTCCTTAAAAAAAATTATGTGCTTAAAATATATGTACATTTCTAGAAACGTTTGAAAAGACACTTTTAATGGAAAAAAAAGACTAAATAGTTTAATCAAATTTTTTTCTTAAAAGAACATAACTTTAACACATGTAAAAGAGCTATATACAAAAATACTTTTTTTCCTCTTTATGTTGTGATGAAAGAATGGTACAATATTTACATTACAAACCTCATTAAAATAAATTTAGAATCCTGTAATACATTGCTTTGGGCTTTTATGTATGGGAAACACTCCAGGTGTCCCTGAACTCTTCACAACTTAAATGCCTCGGCTCATAGTGGTAAACCAAAATTGTGCGTCAACTGTTCATTATTTCCAATATGCACCTGTCTCGTGTGTCCTCTTTCTTTTAAGCTCTGCGAAATGTGGTATGCACTTTTTTAACTTGCCAACAATTCTTTAGAACATTGACATTTTTAATGCTTCTGCTAATGTATGAACCATGTATCATTTAAAAAATGTATTAGTTAAAACTTTCCTCATCCTACAGAAGCAATTTCTACCATCCTATCCATCCAAAAGATTGTTGTCACTTCAACTTAAACAGGTAAATTTGACAGTTCACATACAACCAAGACTGGCAAATGCAGGCTATACCCTCCCAGGCAAGCAGTTGAAAGTGTAGAACTAGATTTCAGTTTCAGAACCAGGTGAAGTTTTAGAACCAACAGTGACTGATATTTAACTTGTGTCATTCTTTTCCAAATGATTTTTCACATTGATAATGAATGATCA